CCACACCCTAAACCCTGAATCCTAGACCCCAAACCCTAAACCCTAAACCCCAAACCCTAAACCCCAAACCCTAAACCCTAAACCCCAAACCCGAAGCCCTAAACCCCAAAGACTCAACCCTAAACCCTAAACCCTAAAACCCCAAACCCTAAACCCCAAACCCTGAACCCTATAAACCGTAAACCTTAAACCCTTGAGGCTTCAGCCAAGGGGATCAGGGTTCAGGGGCTAGTCTTCAGGCCTTGGCGTTCCAGCGCAGGTTAGGTACGTACCGCTTTACGGGTTTAGGGTTGCGGGTTGAGGGTTTAGGGGTTTAGGGTTTGGGGTTTAGGGTTTAGGGTTTAGGGTTTAGCGTTTAGGGTTTAGGGCTGCGGGTTGAGGGTTTAGGGGTTTAGGGCGTTTAGGGTTGAGAGTTTAGAGGTTTAGGGTTTAGGATGTTTAAAGAGCTGTCCGATGATCTTATCCCTACACCCTAAGCCCCTAAACTCCTTAGCCCCAAAGCCCCTAAGCCCTAAGCCCTAAACCCTAAACCCAAAACCCTAAACCCTAAAACCCTCGTACCCTAAGCTCTGAACCTTCAGCCCGAAGTACGCGTGATTGATAGACTTGGAGTCGTCAGGTAGTGCTTGGGAGGCTCAGGGCTCCCAGGCTTTGGCGCTTCGATTTTTTTAGTCTTGGGTTTAGGGTTTAGGGTTTAGGGTTTAGGTTTTAGGTATTAGGGTTTATAGGGTTTAGGGTTTTGGGTCTAAGCTTATAAGTCTTATAAGGTTTGGGGTCAATGTATATACATGGGCCCCAAAGTACCTATATAGGGACTAGTTAAAGGCCAAAGTATGTACTATTTGGGAACATGGACCCTTAGGGTCAGGTTTAGGGTTCAGTGTGTTTAGGGTTCTATAGGATCCTAAACCCTAAACCCTAAACCCTAAGCCCTACCTTCACCCCAAATAACCTATCCCTGTATGGATTTATATACAGACACCATGATGAGGTAAACTATTTGGGATCGAGGCAGAACTTGTGGCGGCATAAAAAGTGGGGTCAATCGTCAGTATAGGGGTTTAGGGTTTAGGGTTTTGGGGGTTAGGGGTTTAGGGTTTAGACTTTAGGGTTTAGGGCAGATAGATTGGAGCAAACAATACATAATTGTATAATGGGGCTTACAATTTTGGAACACAGGGTCGGATACATATATCGGCATACAGTGGTTTAGGATGAGTTGGGGAATATGGTGCTGATATGAGGGCTGGAACAGGTCTTCATGTACAACTTAATATGTAGATTTTCAAAGGACTAACTATACGGGCCCGTTGTTCTCCAGATTATGCGTAAACAGTTCGTTCACGAAAAAAGGACCGGCCGAGGGGCATCATGTAGAGCCAAGCCCATCCTCGCTTCTTTTTGCTCCTTGCGTTGTAGTTCTACTTTCTGTATGAACCGTATTCAAATCCCCTGAACCCTGAACCCAAACAGTGGACACGAAGGTCGAGGCACGATGATTGAATAGCTGCTGCTGCACTTCTGGCCGGTGCTGTGAACCTAAACCATGTTCAAGGACAACCTGTGACCCCAAACTCTACAAAATAGTAGGTTATGACCCCTTAATTAGAGGGTAGAACCCTTAAAACGGTAGGTTTGGGGATCCCCAGGAGTATTATGATAAATGGAAGCGTTGCAAAAAGATCCCCAAAACGTAGAGAGCAGGCAGGGCGTTCTGGTTGGCCCCACAGCTGCTGTTCCCGAATGGCTGGCCCACTAGCTAACTTCATTTCCGTTTTGGAGGAGCCCCCGACAGGCAAACCCTAAGCCCAAACCCTAAACCCTAAACCCTAAACCCCAAAACCCTCACTGCACGCCTAGACCCCTAAACCCTAAACCCTGGAACCTTGACACCATTGAACATCAGCCACTACAACCAGCGAAAAGTCCAGCAACTAGCCCTAAACGAAACCCTAAACTCCTCAAAACCCTAAACCCTAAACCCTAAACCCTAAACTCCAAACCCTAAACCCGAAACCCTAAACTCCTACGGGGGTATTGCAATGCAGTCAGAGCCCTCCTTGCTTCTCCAGTGTCTTACTTGGAGGTTCTTGGGACTTTGCAAGTACAGCTATACAGTACCCTAACGTTATTAACTGGGGCGACGGGAGGGAACTATGAATATATTACCTTATTTGCAACCTTAGAGCTATTAAGTCCCACGAACTTTTTAAGGAGGGCCAACCTTTTGGAATTCTGTAGGGCGTCCTATAGTGCGGCAAAAAAGTTGAGGGCTACTTACTCCAAATGTAAGCCTTTGCAAAAGCTAGGTGTTGAGCAGACCGGTTTAATTAGCATGTAGGGTTGAGGGTTCCCAGACACCAAACCCCAAAGCCCTAAACCCCGAACACCCTAGGACCCTAGGGCCCCAAAACCCTGCTCACCCCTCAACCCTAAACCCCTAAACCCTAAACCCTAAATCCCTAAATCCTAGACCCTAAAGGTTCCGCACTCCGCGGGCTTCGGGCTCGGAACCCCATCTCCCCAAGCCTGTTGTAGTTATGAATACCTACGTACTATTCGGTTTAGGGTTTTAGGGTTTGGGTTTAGGGTTTAGGGTTTAGGACTGAGCCTATGGGTTATGCAAAGGCTATTCCCAAAATGGGCGCTGACCTTTCTCACTTGAGGGGTCTTTGCGGACTATCCCAGCAAACATGATAACAACCTAGGCTGGGAATCCAAACAAAGGCGACTGATATTATTTTGCGCGACGGGCCCGCAAACACGATGACCGATTTATACGTCCGCCCACACCCACACCCTTAGCAGCAGTATGGTGCACTATACATCAAATAGATCATGCCAAACAAAAAATGCAACAAGTATAGTGCACAATCCCTAAACCCTAAACCCTAAACCCTCGTCTGCGCGTCTGCAAGACGTTCGTCACAAACAGCTTCCTTTTTCTCGAGTCCGGAAGAATGCTCACCAGTGGGGTTTAGGGTTTAGGGTTTAGGGTTTAGGGTTTAGGGTTTAGACTTAACAAGGACATCACCTGGACATCACTTTATTGTGATCCGCGCACTTGAAGGGTGGAAGATTGTCATCACCCAAAAATACGGGAGAACAACTCCTTCGTTTCATCCTCAGACCCGTGAATGTCCGCAATTCGAACATTGATACTTCCGATTCATCCCTCTTGGCCCTATTTGAAAGGGGAAAGCCAAGCGAATCAAAGTTAGTGGCTCTTTCTTTTTTCAGTTTAGAAACCGGAAAATCAAAAACACATAGAAATTAGAAGCACAGTCATACTGTTGATGGACAACATCCTGCATGACCCAAATATAGTATAGTACCATAAATCCCAGAGTTTAGGTATATATCATGCAGGATTTTGTCCATCAACAGTATGATCTCTAACCCTAAACCCTAAACCATAAACCCTAAACCCTAAACCCTAAGCACTAAACGCCTAAGCCCTAAACCCTAAACCCTAAACCCATCAGCCGTAGTTCCCATATCCTCTAGCAAGGCAATCTCGCCGTGGGTGTCGTCCTCGGCCTGCTCTCGCCGGGGTATCGCTGCCGCCGGAATCTGTACGCCAGCTTGGGTTAAGGTTTAGGGTTTAGGGTTTAGGGTTTAGGGTTTAGGGTTTAGGGTTTAGGGTTTAGGGTTTAGGGTTGGGAGATCATGGACACGGAGAAAATAGGCCGGTGACAGCTGGCCAGAAGTGCAAGTACGTCTCTTGACGTGATGGGCCTCAATATGAACATCTCCAGTTCCAAATTTGGATTCTGGGCCCTTTCAACTTCGAAAACCGTTGTAGCAAGCAAGCACTGATGTCACTGATGACACCGATGGGGCTCTGCTCCAGATCTGTTGCTCTCGCCCCTTCGCACTAACACCTGACCTCCTCGATGGTGTCCAGCATCGGGCGCATAAACGCCATCTTGAACGATCTTGCTGAGCTTGCCTTGCTGGGCAAAAGCAGGAGGCGCAGAGGTTTAGGGATTAGGTTTTTTTAGGGTTTGGGGTTTAGGGGCTTTTAGGGTTTATAGGGGTTTAGGGTCGGGCTTTGGCGGGGTGGTCCACACCCTACATAAACCCGAACCCTACAATCCTGTGTCGCGGAGTCCTGTGGGTCGTGTCGAGCACGCGTGCTAGCGGCAAGGCAGTCACATTGTTGGGCAGACAAATGTCAGCGATGCCGTGCGCTATGAGCACCTGCTCAGGGGCAGGTTCTAGCCTCAACCCTAAACCCTAAACCCTAAACCCCTAAAGCCTTATGCCTGCACACTCCAAGGTCGTTGTAGTTTGGGACCTTAAGGCTGGCTCAAGGGGGAGGGTCGTAGGGAGCTTTAGGGAACCTAAGGGAGTACTAGGGAGAATTGGGGATTACTGGGTTATATACCCCCCTTTAGAACCCCAAACCCTAAACCCTAAACCGCCCTTAGAACCCCCTCCCTTAAGGATTCCATAAGAAGGGGTTCGCAAATCCTCTCGCAACCCTGGAGAACCATCGAAAGGATTCGTTTTGGATTCAGCAATTTAGGGGGTCTCAGGGTTTCTAGGTTTCAGCGTTTAGGGTTTAGGGTTTTAAGGTTTAAGGTTTAGGGTTTAGGGTTTAGGAAGGCTTCAAAGCTTCGGTAGTTTCTTGCTTCGGTTTGGGGTTTAGGGCTTAGTGTTTACGGGGGCTTTCGGCCAACGTGCTTCCGTCCCTTGCAAAGCGCAAGGCATCCAACACCCAAACACTTCGAAGGGGCCCATCATGATATAACATCGTACAGCACAATCTACTATACAGCGCTACGGCAGTCTTGTCTCACCGAGTTGCTGCCAATCTCTACTCTAAAATCTAGACCCCAAACCCGAAGCCCTAAATCCTAAGCCCAAGCTAAGCCCTAAACCCGACACTAAACCCAAAGCCCTCAACCGAAAACCTTAAACCCAAAACCCAAAGCCCTATACCCTGAACACTAATCCCAAAGCCCTGTAAGCCCTTAACCCTCTAGATCCTGGTTTGCCAAGTGAGGAGACCCTCAATCCTAAACCCTAAACTCTAAACCCTAAACCTAAACCCTAAACCCTAAACCCTAAACCCTAAACCCTAAACCCTAAACCCTAAACCCTAAACCTAAACCCTCTGGATCCTGGTTTGCCAAGTGAGGAGACGGCGGTAGTTGGCAAGGATTTTCGGCTTAGCAGTCGACCAACAGTCTATCTCCGCTTCTCTGTGCGGCAGTTCTCTAAATTTAGGGTTTAGGGTTTAAGGTTTAGGGTTTAGGGTTTAGGGTTTAGGGTTTAGGGTTTAAAGGTTCCTTTGAGGGATCTATAGGGTTCGGGGTTTGCGGTTTGAGGGTAGTTCTCTAGGTTAGGGTCCCTTTTTAAGCGCGCAGTTTAGGGGTTTCGGGGTCACGGTCTCCAGGGCTTAGAGTTCAGGGTTTAGGGTTCAG